GGATAAAGATCAATCTCTCTCTCTCTCTCTCTCTCTCTCTGTGTGTGTGTGTGTGTGTGTGTGTGTCCTTCTCTCCCTGTAATTCTTTCCAAAAAATAAATCTTTTTTAAAAAGGAAACACAGGAGTAAATCATCATGGCATAGGATTAGGCAACAGTTTCTTAGATATGACACCAAAAACACAAAGAAAAATAGACTTCATCAAAGAAACTGAAGAATGGGAGAAAATATATGGAAATCATGTATTTGATAAAGCACTTGTAATGAGGATATATCAAAAACTCTTACAAATCAACCACAAAAGGATAAATAACCCAATATAGAAAAAGATCCAAATACACATTTCTCAAAAAATATTGACACAAATAACCAGTAAGCACATAAAAGACAATCCATGTCACTTAATTATTAGGAAATGTATATCAAAACCACAATAAGATACCATTTCACAATCAACAGAATGGAACAAAAGAAAGAAATATGGAAGTATAGTGGGTAGGGAAGGGAGAAGCAAGGAATGTGAGACGGAAGGAGAGTGAGAAAGGAAATAATAATTGGTGAAAATCTGGAGAAATACAGAACCCCCATACACCTCCAGTTGAAATGTAAAATGGTGAAATTAATCTGGAAAACAATTCAGCAGTTTCTTTAAAAAATTAACAAAATTAACACATGACACAGAAATTCTAATCCTAGGTATCTACTCAAGACAAATAAAAACATATGTCCACACAAAAACTTGTACAGAAATATTTATGACAATGCTATTTACAATATCCAGGAAGTGGAAACAACTCATATGTTCATCAACTGGTGAATGGGATAAACACAATGTGGTATACCTATGCAATAATATACTATTAGGTAATAGTAAGAAATAAAATATTGACACATTGGCCGGCGCCGTGGCTCACTTGGCTAATCCTCCGCCTGTGGCACTGGCATCCCGGGTTCTAGTTCCGGTTGGGGCGCCGGGTACTAGTTCGGTTGCTCCTCTTCCAGTCCAGCTTTCTGCTGTGGCCTGGGAGGGCAGTGGAGGATGGCCCAAGTGCTTGGGTCCCTGCACCCACATGGGAGGCCGGGAGAAAGTACCTGGCTCCTGGCTTCGGATGGGCACAGCGCTGGCCATAGCGGCCATTAGGGGAGTGAACCAACGGAAGGAAGATCTTTCTATCTGTCTCTCTCCCACTGTCTGTCTGTCTCTCTCTCTCTTTCTCTCTCTCTCTAACTCTGCCTGGCAAAAAATAAAAAAATAATAAAATGAAAAAACATTGATACATGCTACAACATGCATAAACCTCAAAAACATTATGTTTAGGAAAAGTTAGACACAAAAGAACATATATACTATGATTCTGTAAACATGAAATGTAAAAAATAAAAAGTAAGCTCCTATAGAGAAAGGAAGTAAATTAGTAGTTGCCTAAAGCTGAGGGTGAGAATGGAGAGTGGCTGTAAATGAGCAGTTTCTTTGGGCACACAGTGGAAATGTTCTAAAACCATCACTAGGTTACAGAGGTGACTGTATAACTCTGCAAATGTACTAAAAAATTACTTAACTTTAGAATTTAAATGTATGAATTTTATAATATGTAAATCACAGCAAAACTGTTAATGTTTTTAAAAACATTAGAAGATATTACAAGTTTTAAACGGACCAAACTCAATGGATAGGATTAGACATCTCAAAGTAAAAAAAAATAAATAAGGGGATTTTTTTTCCCATCTCAGATGTAATTGTGTTGGCTTTTACTTCCCTGCACACAGCAGCAATTTATAAAATATTTCATATAGTCTAGCAGAACTCAATAATATATGTGACAAAAACAAAAAATAAGTTACAAATATTAAACTATATTTAGGGGATGGCATTGTAGTATAGAGTGAAGTAATTGCTTATGATGCCCACAACCCATATAAGAGTGCCTAGGATCAAGTTACACCTACACCTCCCATCCATCCTCCTGCTAATGTGCACTCTGGGAGGCAACAGGTGATAGCTCAAATTTTTGGGTTCCTGGTACCCACATGGGAGACCCAGATGGATTTCTTGGATCCTGGCTTCAGCCTGGCCCAGCACTGGCTATTGCAGGCATTCAGGGAGTGAACCCCCAAACAGAAGATCAAATTCACTCTCTTTCTCCTGCTGCTGTTCTGCTTTTCAAACAACCAACCAACTTTGAAAATATAAACTTGATTTTCTGGAGACATACTAATAATATTCTTCCTTTTATAATAAATCAGAGGACCTAAATTTTTTCTACCATGAAAGAAGGCCAGTGTTACTAATGCCTCACAAACACAAAAACTAAATGAGATCATTCAGGCTTATCCTGATACCTAGCACACAATAAATATTAAATAAAGGTTAACTGCCATAATTATAAACAGAGGATATTCAGTTCTAAACTGATACTCCTCACATGCTCTATGATTGACACCCAAAGCCTTAAAAGGGGTAATTAGTGGAGTAGAAAGAATAGTATGACTTGGTATCATTTATGAGAGAACTAAGTCAATAGCCACACAATCTGTAAGATCATCGGGAACAAAAATGAGACCAATAGAGGAGGAGAAAATCTCTCTGGAACAGTAAGCAAAACTTGTCCCCTTATAAAAACACTCAATCTGGGGGCCAGCACTGTGATATAGCGGGTAAAGCCACCGACTGCAGTGCCGGCATCACATATGGGCGCTGGTTCTAGTCCAAGATGCTCCACTTCCAGTTCAGCTCTCTGCTATGGCCTGGGAAAGCAGTGGAAGATGGCCCAAGTGCTTGGGCTCCTGCACCTGCGTGGGAGACGGAGAGGAAGCTCCTGGCTCCTGGCTTCGGATCAGTGCAGCTCCGGCCATTTTGGCCAATTGGGGAGTGAACTCGTGGATGGAAGACCTCTCTCTCTCTCTCTCTCTGCCTCTCCATCTCTCTCTGTGTAACTCTGACTTTCAAATAAACAAATAAATCTTTTTTAAAAATAACAACCTGTCCAAGAGTATTTTACAAAGTTGTGAACACATGCCTCTTCTACTGTAAAACATGACATTCATTGCTTCAAACCAAATCACTTCTTAAACTCTAACTGTAAACCTATCTCTAGTAATCCAGTTTCATCCAAAGAACTCACATGTTCAATCTCATCTTAGTTTCAAAATATTCTAACCATCCCAAATATTTTTGTCTACCTGAATTTAGGAGATAGAAGATTTAGAAAAAAGTTAAGAATCAAAAGCTCCAGAATATCAATACAAGTGGAGAGGAGATAGTATAAAAGATAGAAAGGATGCCCACTCTTCACTTAAGACAGTAGGATGGGGATTAAGTTCTTCTATAGCATACATCAGAGAATTTGCAAAAACAAATCCACTTTTAAATATTTAAGTGCATGTCTCAAAATATGACGCAGAAATATTTTAGGAAATTAAAGTTGAGAATGTAAACTAATATAATACAGTTATTAATCATAAAAATCAGGTACAAATTTTTAAATAATATGAACTGTCTAGATTTTAAAAATTTGTCAATAATTACATTGTTATTCAAAAGCTATCTAGCTGAGCAAATTATAAAACTATTGCCTGTTAGCTACATCACTTAAAAAAAATTATTCTTCCCTTGTTAAGAAGTACATCAGTGTGTGTGTGTGTGTGTGTGTGTGTGTACAATAACTTTGGTCATTATTGTATTTTTATTTTCATATCTACCACCATTAAATTTTAAAATATTTTTCTCCCCGTCATTAAATGTATATTAAGTATAAGTTACAGTGATAATGCTGATAACATTCCTAAAAATCATTAACTCTGGCATAGAGGTCAGATGTCACAAACTCTATAAGGAAGGTCTGTAATGCAGACTTGAAAATGTATACAGAAAAAAGATGAAAAATATTAGAGATAATGTCAGGAAAATAAGGAAGCAATAATAAGCTATAATACCTCAAAGAACCTGCTTCCCACACAAAGATATATTTTATAAGCATTCATATGGAAAAATGATATTTGAATGATAGAATTCTGAATCATATATCTTCAGGATATCTCTCCCACAAAATGAAACAACCTTGTATATGCAATGTTTCAGAAAATGTGGCTTGACTTTATACATTAAAAAAAGATTGCTTTATTTCCAAAGCATTCAATCTCTCAAATAAAATACAATTTTTATATTATCTTATTATTATATATTATCTTATCTTGTAAGAAATTATATTACAAAATTTTAAACTGAGTTTGTAATTATCCTAAAAATCAAAGCATCACCACTGCATCTGTAGTACTGCTTTATTCATCTTGACAATTCATCCGTTAGATGACAGAAGATCAGAGGGTTTCTAAATGACTGTGAAGTCACCATTATATTTTTATATTTCCTACAAACAATTTACTTAAAAGGGGAGAATAAGACTAAGTAGCTTATACAGTTACTCTGACATAAATTCAAAGATTCCAAGTAGTCTTCTAAATTTGAGCAATCTTTCAATCATTGTAATTTTTACTGTGCCATTGTCACTTTTTCATTCACTGTGCTAAAAAAAAGAAAATTCAACACACTTCTCTAAAATAATAATTTTCTAATCGCTTACTGATGTCCAATCTTAGAATGTTCTATATTCCTTCTGATAACTACAATTTGAATCCTACAGATATTTTAATCCCTACATTCATAAATATTGCTATGAATATAGGACCATAGTTGCTAAATGCAGCATCTTTTCCACTGCTGACTGCAAATGATGAATCAAGCATGATAATCAGTCTATATATAACTGTCACATATCAGCTAAATTTAGCAAGATATTACAAATGTACAAAAAACAAGGAATAACATGACCTACAATCACAGAAAGTTGGAGCTTAAAGAAACCTTAGAAGTCACTGAATTCAATCTTTCTAATTTTAAATATTGTGGTAATTGAGGAGATACAAAGAGCTTAAATGAATCCCCTGTGGTCACACTCTTTATACAAGGTAAAAGCTGGTTCTATGTCGCATATATATCTTACCTTTCTGGTGATGCCTTAGAAGTGACAGGACACTCATGGACACCTCTTTTATTCTTACGGTCCAAAGAGATGACTTTATTTCTTGGGCTTCTTTTCCACTAGAAAAAAATATGTAATTTTGTTGGTAAAATAACTATATGATGAGGCACTTCAGATATCAATTTTACTTATAAATTCAAGATAAACAGCCAAATTCATAGCTCACAAAGAAAAAATAAAAATAACCACATTTGACAGAATACTTGCCTCTTCTGCTGGTGAGGAATTATAAGTCCACCAAAAAATAGCAGGAAGACATTTTAGAATGTTCAAGTAGGCCGGCGCCGTGGCTCAATAGGCTAATCCTCCACCTTGCGGTGCCGGCACACCAGGTTCTAGTCCCGGTCGGGGCGCCGGATTCTGTCCCAGTTGCCCCTCTTCCAGGCCAGCTCTCTGCTATGGCCAGGGAGTGCAGTGGAGGATGGCCCAGGTGCTTGGGCCCTGCACCCCATGGGAGACCAGGAAAAGCACCTGGATCCTGGCTCCTGCCATCGGATCAGCGCGGTGCGCCGGCTGCAGCGGCGGCCATTGGAGGGTGAACCAACGGCAAAGGAAGACCTTTCTCTCTCTGTCTCTCTCTCACTGTCCACTCTGCCTGTCAAAAATTTAAAAAAAAAAAAAAAAGAATGTTCAAGTAACTTTAGTCAGGAAACTTGGAGATTCCGATGCTTAAATAACTAAAAACAACTGAAATATGTTTCAAAGAAGCAGTAAAGGCCGGCGCCGCAGCTCACTAGCCTAATCATCTGCCTGCGGCACCTGCACCCCAGGTTCTAGTCCCAGTTGGGGCTCCGGATTCTGTCCCAGTTGCTCCTCTTCCAGTCTAGCTCTCTGCTGTGGCCTGGGAGTGCAGTGAAGGATGGCCCAAGTCCTTGGGCCCTGTACCCGCATGGGAGACCAGGAGAAGGCACCTGGCTCCTGACTTTGGATCGGCGCAGCGCACCAGCAGTAGCGGCCATTTAGGGGGTGAACCAACGGAAAAAGGAAGACCTTTCTCTCTGTCTCTCTCTCTCTCACACTGTCTAACTCTGCCTGTCAAAAAAATAAAAAATAAAGAGTAGTAAAAACCATTTTATGCCAGGTTAAATACATCATGTATCACCACCAGCTTTGACTGAGCTTGGCATCTTCCCCCAAGAATGAACAGTACCCAGTAATATGAAACCCAGGTTCAAAATGAGCACAGGGTCAGACAAAGCACCAAAGGGACTGCCTCTATCATCCCTCTTGCAAACTGCAGCAGGTAGCAGAGCAAGACTCCAGCCAGGAGGGAGTAAAAAGGAAGGTGAGCTTAGGATTTTGCCTCAGACCTTGGTGCTTGGCCCACCATGGTAAGACTCAGAACAGATAAAGCCAAAAGACCTCCACCCAAAAGGCAGTCCTCAGAGACAGAGCCTAAAAGCCTACCAGTATCAATTTGACTTGATCTATATCCTGGCCAGCACAGCCTGGAGATAGATGCAGCAGCCTAAGTGCCAACTCAACCTCAGCAGAAGGTAGACAATATGGGCTTTGGCCCAACCCCAGAGTATAGGCTCTGGGTATGATCTTAGCATTACAGCACAACATGAGGAGAGGAACTGCCTGCTTGGGGAAGAAAAAGGTAAATGGGGGTCAATTTATTATATAGAAAATTGAAGCTGACAGTGTAGAGACCCAAGCATCCCATGCCAGACTTCAAACCAGCATTACCATGACCCTGCACATGACCCTGCTACCACAATAACCCATGCAAAGGATGCAAGATTCCAGACTGGCACTATCAGGACCACATACAAGACAGAATTAGGGAAGGGACACCAATGGCCCTGGCCACACCAAATGGCCTGCCACTTACCCTATGGTGCCAGATAAGGGTGCATAACATCCCAAACTGCCATTGCCATTGATTATAGTGGAAGAAAATATAAGGACCCTACATTAAAAAATCAAACTGGAAATGAAACCAAAATAGCATACCAAAGGACATTCAAAAAAACATTTTTTGGAAAAATGCTTATCATGAAATTCATTCTTTAAAGTGATAGAGACAACTAATCCAGCACATGCACAAACATCAACTTAGGGACATAGGAAGAATGAAAAAGAAAGTCAATATTATAGTACCAAAAGGAGCACAATAATGCCTTAGTAACTGGCTCCAAAGAAAAGGAGCTTGCCAAAATGTATGATAAAGATTCAGAAGGAAAAAAATTTCAGAATAATGATTATGATTACAAGGACGCTAAAAGAGGAGATCAAAGACTCTGAATAGGGAAAAGACTGATTCCAACCACAGAAAGATAACAAGAAACAGGAAGAAAATGCATTCCTATGAGACAGCTGGAGAGCAGTTTGCAATTGGAATCAAAAAAAGAAGGCAGATGCTATGGAGCAGTGGGAACAGTTCAATCACAAAGCAGTGAGAACACTGGCAGCGACTCCCCAGGGCAACAGTCAGAGGGGACGCCATCTTCTTGGAGTAAGGCACTGAGCAACGAGCAGAGAGGAAATGCCATCTTAATAAGGCAAGTAGAGGCTGTTGTGCAGGCGTACACCTTCCGGATAGGTTAACGCCGGCGAGACCTCGGAGACACCAGACGCGTTTATCGGCTTTTCAGCTTTCACTTTATTTTTAGCTCCCGCCTGTTACCGGCGTTCATTCATAACTCCCGCCTGTTTCCGGCGTTCATTCACAACTCCGCCTGTTACCGGCGTTCATTCATTACTCCGTCTTTTACCAGCGTTCATTCACTCCTCTGTCTTTTACCAGCATTCATTCACTCTCCGTCTTTTACCAGCGTTCATTCATTCCTCCGTCTTTTACCAGCGTTCATTCACTCCTCCGTCTTTTACCAGCGTTCATTCATTCACTCCGCCTTTTACCAGTGTTCATTCACTCCCCGTCTTTTACCAGCGTTCATTCACTCACCCGTCTTTTACCAGCATTCATTCACAACTCCTTCATTCACCACTCCCGCTTACTACTAGCATTCATTCACAGCTCCCGCCTGTTACCGGCGTTCATTCATAACTCCCGCCTGTTTCCAGCGTTCATTCACAACTCCGCCTGTTACCGGCGTTCATTCACAACTCCGCCTGTTACCGGCGTTCATTCATTCCTCCGTCTTTTACCAGCCTTCATTCATTCCTCCGTCTTTTACCAGCGTTCATTCATTCACTCCCGCCCACCGTCCACCTATTTATATATATCATTCACGGAAAACATGTTACCAACTAAGTGTGGGAAACATGCAATAACAGGATGCTTAAAGTCAAAACAGGATCTTGCAATTAGCAACGGGCAGGGTGGAAAAAGCCCAGCACTAAACTTCTTGTGCTTGTACATGTCGGGAGGGGCACAGCTGGCCAGGCTGTCCCGTTCCCCGACACTGTTGCAGCCCACGCACAACTGAGGAATTTTATCAGAGGGATAAGTCCGGGTTCCCACTCTCTATGAATCTGAACTTGAGATTTGGTGGAGGGCAGGCCACTCACTTCGGCCCATGAAACTCTTCCACTCCTCACTCTATTAAGATGCCCAGACTCGACTTGCCAAGGCAGAGCACTGAACAACCTCTGTTAGGCAGCTGACTCAAGAATGAGACAGGTTTTCTGTTGGACACAGGAGGTTCGTGGGACTGAGAGTGGATCCCCTATTCCCTGTGACTGTGGGAGACCTGAGCCCTGTGACTGTAGGAATTCTGTGACTGTGTGATAGGTTGGGAAATAAGGTGTGCCTGGGCATTAGGGCAATCACTGTGTCCGGCTTCAGAGGCTCCCACTCACACTGAGGAGTGCATAGCTCTTTTGTGCAGTTCATGTACTTGTGTGGGTGAGGTATATAGCCACTGTGAGCTCATCCTAAGTAGTTGGCTGACCTTGGCAAAGAGGACCTAATACTGTTATCATATCAACCAATGTGATCATAACCTCAAACTTGCTGAAGACAGAGTTACCACATCTAACTTCAGTGTCACCCTGGACCCTTGTCCCACCCTCAAGCAGTGGCCAAAGATCCGTGGAACCACCAAGCGTGTCCCTCTTGACATCCACTGAAGGAAAAGACATTCCATTAAGCCACAGAGACATATATCAAAGATAAAAGCCTTCAGAGGAGAAAATCAACAAGTGTTTTCACAAATATCTAAAACTTATATGTAGAAATACAAGAAACATAAACAAGGAAGACAACCTAATGCCCCAAAGGAACAGAACAACACTTCAATATTAGAATGTGAACACAAACAGAACAATGAGGAGCCAGTATTGTGGCATAGAAGGCACTGCCCACAATGCCAGCATCTGATATAGTTGCCAGTTCAAGTCCCAGATGCTCTACTTCCAATCCAACTCCCTACTGTATGTGCCAGGGAAAACAGCAGAGGATGGCCCAAGTAATTGGGTCCCTGCACCCATGTAGGAAACCTGGAAGAAGCTCTGGATCCTGGCTTCAGACTGACTCAGTTTCAGCCATCAGGGCCATTTGAGGAGTGAAAAAGTAGATGGAATACGTGTGTGTTTGTGTGTGTGTGTGTGTCTTACCCCTAACCCCATAACTCTGCCTTTCAAATAAATAAATAAATTTTTAAGATCAATGAATTGCCTGAAAAGAAATTCAAAAGAATGAACATAAGATGACTCAAAAACAACACATGAGTTAAAGAAATCCACACATGCCATATATGAAAAATTCTCCTGAGACAGAGATATTGGATATAATAAAACTAAAATATGAGGAATGAAGAATTCATTGTGTCAAATAAAAAATACAGTGGAAAGCCTAAACAACAGACTTGGTGAGGCAGAAGAAACAGTGTCTGAGTTAGAAATCAAATCTTTGGAAATATCTCAGTCAGACAAAAAAAAAAAAAAAAAGAAGAAGAAGAAGAAGAAGAAGAAGAAGAAGAAGAAGAAGAAATTAGAAAAACCAAACATAACAAACCAAAACACGTTTCAGATTTATGAGAATCTATCAATTGACCAAACATACAAGTCTTAGGAGTCCTGAATGTGTGGAAACAAAGAATGGCTTAAAATACCTATTCAGTGAAATAATATCAGAAAATTTCCCTATTTG